TGGTCCTTTTCATCATTAACTTATTTAATACAAGAAGTCTTTAAATAGTCTTTGAAGTTTACTATAATAGTAAACTGGTAAGCCTATACTATAAACAACAGAAAAGCAAGAGCTATTTATGTAGGGCTGGAGGAATGTGATGGTTTGGACACCAAGGCTTATTTTGGATAAAAATGTTAAGTTTGCTGGATATGGTCTAGCTCGTCAATCTTATTTACCTTTTGTTCAGTGGCAGACCTCTTCCTGAGCTAGTAAGGAAGAAGTGCTAAAGAATTACTTGCTACCTAAAGAGTGAACAAGTTTTCAACTTAAATGGTTCATCTTAACCTCAAAAAGATTATTGGCCAGTAATCAAATAGTGACCAGTACTGATCGTTATTCCCAGCTTGCTTTGGCCAACTCTCTCCTTTTAACAAGTAGATTTTCTAGATCCCTTTTTAAAAAGTTTTTGTGAGCACAGGAGCTATCCAGAACCCCCCCCCCAATCTACTTTACTACTCCCAGGCACTTCATAATTGCAAGTATTGTATTCAGTTTTAAAAGATGGCACCTAATTCAGTAATTATTCTCTCTTCATTTTTTTTTTATAGTGGTGGTCTTGTCTGTAGAATTTGGAATGCAATATTAAGCCATAGACAAATGGGTGATAAGCTCACAGACACAGAAGATTAAGTCTTTGACAGAGAGAGCAAGTAAGGGGAATGAAACACTGAAATACATTCCAAGTAATTCTTACGCTAAAGGTTGTATATACTGTATGTATACTGGTCCTGGGGATTTTGCACAACCAAATGCCCTGTTTAACTATTAGTATAATGCACAGTGAATATTAGCACAGCTTTCTTGAAGACAGTGGCTTCATACACACATTCAAACAATCTGGGAGAATTTTCCCTGCTTTATCATGGTAGAAAAACTTAACCACAGGCTCTCCAGGCTGCCTGGCAAGAGATAACAGTAGTGCACAGTGACCCTGATTGGCTGACCCAGACTCTCTCCCTGCAGCACACTAAGAGGATTGGGAAGGGGTTCTCTGCTTGGCTGGGAGAGTAGAACCCAAGTGACACTGCCTCTGGGAGGATGGGGTAGAGCTAGCAACAAAGCATGTTGGCATGCTGCAGGACTCCCAGTTGTTTCCAAGTTACTTTTCTCCTGCACAGGCCACTTTTGGGAGAAAAATTCTGAACAGCTGAATGCTCATAATTTCTACTGGGAGAGCAGCAACTCTCTTGGTAGAAACTGAATGTCTATATGTGGCCAGTGTTAGCAGTTTTACCTGCTAGATGCTTAATATTTTTATTCTTATAATACCACTTCTAATGATGCACTTAAACTTACAAATTTTTTGTAAATATGTAATCAAGAAATTGACTACTTGTCAATATACGAATAACTGTAGCAGAAAA